ACGTGACCCCAATACGTCCAAGCGACCGGACAATAAATGACCAAATAAGGTATGAATTTCTCTACGGCACGGGAGACTGTCATAAATCAGGGAGATGTCAAAAGACGTCAGCAATTCTCAGATTTTTCCCACGCTGATCGGGTATATAAAGGGGTCGGATTCTCTACTTGGGGCTGAGCCAAGGCTGAGCCAGGGCGCTTAAGCCGAAGAAACCCCTCTGCAAACCTCAAGAGCGATCGTCAGGGAAGAAATATCGACGCACGATCTTCCAGCACTCTCAGGATCTAAGAAGCTCATAATTGCCACTCCATGAAAGGTAAAGGACTTTGCTTATTTTCTATTCTCTCCATATACAACGGAATTACTCCTCGGAGAGGTTGATTGAAGAAACCTCCGAAGAACTTCGTCAAGGAAGAACTCTACATATTGGGAGCGACGGAGCATACACTGTAACAGGACATCGCTCCACATAGCCTTCAAAGGACACCTCAGAATAGAAGACGACGATCACAGAGTGTTTTATCAACGCCCTATAATTGGAGAACGTTGCCTTCGAGGTAAACCCTTGCCATTATTATTTATCTCTCTCTAACGTGAGCTCTCTCTCGGATTTTAGCGTTAGGTTAGAATAGATTTTAGAATACCTATTTATATCTTGATACGCGTATTTAATATCTTTGTGTAAATTTTTCTTAGTTGTTTATTAAATGTGTTCGTTAATTTAAACCCGTGTAGTCTTTTGGACACCTGATTATGACTTCCGACTCCTCCCCACTCATATTTTTAGCCCTCCTATTGCCATCTGACAACCGAGAGCGGGTTTTTCCGACCCGTGCCGATTAAGCGGTCATTAGGGTTCAACCCAGTGGCCCCCTGCTACTCACATAATAATTAATTGCATTGTTATGTAAATTTAATTTTATATTTACAATCCATAAAAAATACACATTATAAAATTTAAATAATAATAATAATAATAATAATAATAATAATAATAACTCTCCCGTGGTCACCACCTGGTCGTGGTGGGAGAGCCCAGTAATTTTACAGATCCATAGGGCAATGCAGGCTGGAGCACAAGCTCCTGGTAGGGACACCCATGCCAGTAAGGTCTATGGGGAGAAATGAAGCTAAGAGTGACCACACACCCACATTCTGTGGAGATAATCATTATGGTAGTAACCAGATCTAAGTATGATACCGGCTCGGACGTCGCCCGGGTTAACAAGGTCCGCGTTCGTGGGTTAGGCAGAGGCTCACGTTCGAAAAATAGGCTCCAGTCTCCCTTGGTTACCGGTGGCGAAAGCAGCGCCGGCCCAAGCATGGCTACTGCAATGCCCTCAACAGATGTGAGGAATCAACCTAGCCTTGGTGTTTCTGTGGCAATGCATCCACAGACCACAAAGGCTGGAAAACCACGCCAACGGATGAAATGGACAACAGAAATGAACGAGTTTATCATCCGCACTTACTACACCATCACAAGACTCGAAACAAACATGACAGCATACAGACAACAACTACACCATAGATTCACACAACAATATCCTCACCTCACTGTCACCGAACAAAGGGTTGTTGATCAAAAACGAACAATTATACACAACAACCTTATCCCACAAACAACACTTGAACTTATCAAACAACAGGTTGCTGATCAAATACATCAACAGACAGAAACATTTAACATTAATGAAGATCACGTAACCTGTCAGGATAATCCAGCAACAAGCACTGATTACAGCACACACACAACAAGTACCACTAATGATACTGCAGGCACTTCCCCATCCATCACTGATAACATAGACATAGAATTAGTTAATACACTCTCACTTATATTTCAGGAAACACTCACTAAATATACAGGTACAGATCCCACACAAAGACCACGAATACCGAAAATCAACACGTCAAAGGTAGTAGGAAAAACACTAAATTATGTAAACACTCACTTACTACCAAACTACATTCATTCAATTTCTACACTCTCAGACATTCATACATTAGTTTATGCTGGGGCAGTCACAGTAGTAACACACCATGGACTGAAAATACACTCACAGACAGACACACACAAAACACAATTCTATCACAAGCCTGCCTGGCAGAGAAGAATAGAAACACAAATAAATGACATTAGACAGCAATTAGGCAGGCTGACACAATACACTAAAAACAACATAACACCCAAATTAAAGAAACAACTCAAAAACATTTTCAAGAAAATCAAAACACACACAAAACATGAACATCACAACACACACATTACAGAATACATCGATACACTAAAACAAAAACTCGCAGCCAAAGCACGTAGACTCAAACGATACAAAACATGTACACTACGAAAACAACAAAATAAATTATTCACAAACAATGAAAAACTTTTCTACAGACAAATCAGTACCAAAACAAACACTGATACACAGCACAGTGGCACACCAACAGAAGAAGAACTCACAACTTATTGGTCTTCTCTTTGGTCCAATGCTGTTACACACAATGCTGATGCAGGCTGGATCGAGGAGGAGAACAGAAACTTGCACAACATACCAACTATGCCCTGTGCTGAAATAAACATACACGACATTCGCTACGCTGTTAACAGAACACACAACTGGAAGACACCTGGTGTAGACAACATTCACAATTTCTGGTATAAAAAGTTTACATCACTGCACCAGGAACTAGCTAAACATCTAACACACATCATCATCAATCCACAAGACATGCCAAAATTTCTTACTCGGGGCATTACCTACATGAAACCTAAAAACAACAAAACCACAGACCCCACACAATACAGACCAATTACATGTCTTCCAACACTCTACAAATTATTGACATCCTGTATCACAAACAAAATATACAAACATGTTGAAGAACACGACATTCTTACAGAACAACAAAAAGGTTGCCGTAGAAATCACAGGGGATGCAAAGAACAGTTACTCATAGATTCAGTCATTCTACGGCAAGCACACAAACAACACAGAAACATACACATGGCATATATAGACTACAGAAAAGCATTCGACAGTGTTCCACACAGTTGGCTGCTACATATTCTACACATGTACAAAATACATCCATCACTCATTGCATTCTTCGAAAACACTATGCAGCACTGGAGAACAACACTACATCTCAGGGTTAGTAACACTTCCATACAAACAAACGAAATATTCATTAGGCGAGGAATTTTTCAAGGAGATTCCTTGAGTCCTCTCTGGTTCTGCCTAGCCCTGAATCCATTATCCAACATGTTAAACAACACGCAATACGGCTACAATATCAGACACGAAAAAACAACACAGTTTACACTCTCACATCTCATGTACATGGACGACATAAAACTTTATGCATCCACACAAAAACAACTTCATCAACTCCTACAAATCACACATTCATACACTAAGGACATACAAATGGAGTTTGGCCTAGACAAATGCAAAAAACTTCACATAGAAAAAGGAATCCTGAAGAAAGAAGATTTTGCACTTGGAAATGGAGACGTTATTGAATCCATGGAAGAGGGCGAGTTCTACAAGTACTTAGGATTCCAACAGGCCAAACTAACAGAACATACACAAATAAAGCAACGATTAATTAAAGAATACCAAAGTAGGTTAAACGCTATACTTAGAACACAGTTAAATGCAAAACACACAGTTAAAGCAATAAACACATATGTCATCCCAGTACTCACATACTCTTTTGGAGTTATACATTGGACTCACACAGATCTCGAGCAACTCCAAAGGAAAACAAGAACAACACTTACTAAGCATAAACAACATCATCCTAAATCCGCCACAGAAAGATTAACCCTTCCACGTAAAGAAGGCGGACGTGGCCTGATTGACATAGTTAACCTTCACTACAAACAAATACAGTCACTGCGAGAGTTTTTCTACAAGAAACAAGAAACATCACAGTTACATAAAGCAGTAACTCTAGCAGACTCAAATAACACACCATTAAACTTACACTCACATCATACAGACATGACACAACACATAAAAAGCATAGACACCATCAAGCAATCGTGGGCTCGAAAGGCACTCCATGGCAGGCATCCTTATGACCTGGCCCAGGATTTTGTTGACAAAACTGCGTCAAACAGCTGGTTAGATCGGGGATGCCTCTTTGGGGAGACGGAAGGATTCATGATTGCCATACAGGATCAGGTCATAAATACTAAAAACTACAGAAAACACATACTCAAAGATACAACACTCACAAATGACACATGCAGAAAATGTCACATCATGCCAGAAACTATACAACACATCACTTCTGGTTGCAAGCTCTTGGCACAGACAGATTACTTACATAGACACAATCAAGTAGCAAATATAATACACCAAGAGCTTGCAAAGAAACACAAATTGGCAGACATCCACGAACCATACTACAAGTATATTCCACAGACAGTATTGGAAAACAACACGCACAAAATGTACTACGACAGAGCCATAATCACAGATAAAACAATTTACCACAACAGACCAGACATCACACTCATTGACAAACACAATAAAATCACATACATTATAGACATAGCCATTCCAAACACTCACAATGTACAAAACACATGCACTGAAAAAATTAGCAAGTACACAGAACTTGCCCAGGAAATAAGGCATCTATGGAGGATGGATAGGGTAGTTATTGTACCTGTTGTTCTTTCCTGTACAGGTGTGATACCACACACACTACACAAAAGCCTGGGAACATTAGAATTGAGTAGAAATACATACATAACACTACAGAAGGCCACTATATTGAATACATGCCACATTGTTAGGAAATTCCTAAATACAGACACTGCCACACTTATTTAATTAGTTTTGATTGCTATGCCTTGACTCTGGTCCGGCATAGTACACAGCCACCGGTGTGAACCGAGTAAAACTCACTAAACTCAACATAATAATAATAATAATTTTAATTAAAAATTAATTTATTATGATTTAATCAAATTAACAACTTACATTTTCTGTAAACAATTTCATGCAATTGGCATAATGTTCAGCCAATTGAGCATTTGTTAAACCTGAACTGTTGATTGCTATAGATTTTCTTCTGTTAAAAAATTCAAAATATTAAAATTAATTTATGAACATTTTATATTTACTTTTTCTAAAATTCAATAAAACTCAAATATTTACAATTAATATCTTAATCATTTTTATGTAATTTTTTCAAATTTCCTCATTTTTAATAAACTATATTAAATTTTACAAAAAGCTCTATTTGCAAAGCAATCTAATATTAGTGTTTCATATAAAGTCAACTCCTGATTTATGACCTACTGTCTTATGATGGCCAAAATTAATATTAAAGAACTTAATTTTAAACCCCAGCAATCAATTGTACTTTCTAATGGCACAGAACAGGAATTAAATGTAATACTGTAAGTTGGACAATTAACACACATTATATAAATTGGTAAATTTATTCATATTTAACTATAATTCAGATTTACATTATTCATTATTGGCACTTAAAAGTAAAAATAAAATTAACTTTCTGCAGAGCTGTTGGATCCAAAATTATTGTTCCAGTTTAAATTTTATAATTAATATAACATGAATTAATATTACATTGAATAAATAAAAATTAATATTTTATTATTAACTTCTTTTTTTTTATAAAATAAAAATAAAATCAATTTATACAAAAATTACAATATTCTCTCAGTATGAGTTTTGATTCCTTTAAACCTAGTTGATTATTTTCATGTTTCTATGAAATGTAACATCCATGTAAGCATATTACAGCACAATATGCCTACATGGATGTTACAAAAGCTTATTTTATGTATAATATATAATACAGTTTTATATTGTATTATATATTGTGCAGCTTTGAAAACTGTACCACACAATATTACCAACTGTATCTTTTGTGTTTCACTTCTTATGGAAATCATAGAATAGATAGTGCAGATAGGCCCCAACTTTGTCATAAGTTGGATCCTATCTGCACTATACATTCTCCTATCTAAGCTTATCATTTTTATAGCATTTTCCATTTACTGTATTTACACGCATATAAGATGATCTTGTATATAGGGCAAAGTGTGACTTTAAATATCAAAATAAAGAAAATTAGACTTATTACTACAATTCTAATTTTATTTTGTTTAATCACAAATAAAATATCAAATGCATATATTAAGGCAAACAATCATGTTTGCCTTAATACATAAGTGGAAAACAGAACCAAAACATTATAATGCACATGGCTGGTAAAAGTTTATTTTTAATTATTCAGAATGTGCTAATGTTCATTAAAAATAACAATTTATAACAAATGTGAAACAACTACATTTATAGTCATTGCTAAGTGACCAGTATTTCGTTAATGATTTTATAAATAATGAGGAACTGTTTTCTGTGGACAAATGAGGTGCAACACAGTTTCTAATTGATGGACATAGGTTTAAACCAATAAACAAAGGGGGATGTGTTTTATCTTGTTTACAGTAGGTGCCAACTTACGATAAATAGACTGTAGACTGGAATTTGACGAGCCAGAAATAGTGATCAATCATTCCTTTCCTATCCTATGTTTGGACTGTCTCTTTGAAAGTGTCATTTACCTTGACCTCAATAGCACCCTGCCATAATGGCAGCATAAACTATACACAGTTCACAGAAATTATTGCAAAAAAGCAAAGAATCCTTTGCTCGCACATATCACACAACATAGATTTTTGAAACAGTGAAACATGAATGAAAACCTCATCTTATATGCGAGTAAATATGGTAACTTATTCTAAGTTTTGTGTAAAGAATTTAGATATACTGTATCTGACATTTTTTCAATGTATATAAATGTTTCTGTAGCTTTTTTAGCTTATATTTTGAAATAGGTTTGGTTTAACTTTGGATATTCATAACTCAGTCTCCTGATAATGAAAAAACTATATTCCAAAATATTTCTGCATTAACAGCAAAATTAATTTTTAAGTCTATGTTTTAATATTTTCATTAAGAAATGGGCCAAGTAACAATACTTATATTTTGTTTAATTTTGGAGTAAATTAAAAAGTACAAATTTTTTAAATAACGTATAGGATAATTATTTCAACCATTTACAAGTGTGAGAGCTGAAATTGGTGAAATATTTTGGTTAAATATTATTTGTTGAGAGAAAAAGTTAGAGAGACAAAATGAAAGTGTTAAAGACAATTAAAACTGGTTCCCATGGAGTTATTCCCTTGTTGAAGGTGACACATTGAATGTCTCACCTGGAACCAAGTGAAAATTTGACTATTGCCCCAACATACTAAAATTCCTAATGAAGTCATAGGAAAAACCCAAGAGGAGTCCCCTAGTAAAAGAGGAGAGGGTAATGACAGTCTGTACAATGTACAATGCCAGCACCACTGAGCACAGCTGGGCTTAAGATACAGTATAATACATTATAGAATGTTTAATTTATAGGGTTGAACCAAAAGTTTGTTCAGGTATTTACATAATCGCTTGTCTGTGACGCTTCTGTCATGCTTATCAAGTTTTAACTTGTTTAGGTTGACATTAAGAATATCTGCATATTCATTACGTAAGTTTAATTACAACTATTTTTTAAAATTTTGTTAACTTTTAAGAAAAAAAAAACATTAAAATGGAAGATAAGAAGGTGCATTTTCGACATCTGATGCTCTATTATTTCCAAAAAGGAAAAAATGCAACAAAAACTCAAAAAAAGATATGTGCTGTATATGGGGAGGATGCAGTTACTGATCGAACATGCCAGAAATGGTTTTCAAAATTCAGGGAGAAAGATTTTTCTCTCGAAGATGCACCTTGGTCAACCATAATGGCTTTAATTCAAAATGATCAGCATAAAACAACACAAGAGATAGCAGACATCTTAAAAATATCCCAAACATCTGTTGTCAGACATTTGGCTAGCCTTGGATACACTTCCCATTATGATATTTGGGTTCCCCATAAGTTAAATGAACAAAATCTTATTGAGTGTGTTTCTGTATGTGATTCACTTTTAAAACGCAATGAAAATGATCCCTTTTTAAAGCGATTAATAACAGGCAATAAAAAATGGATGTTTACAATAATGCAACAGATCTTGGAGTAAGCCAGGTGATCCTCCAGTGCCACAACCTAAAGCTGGTTTGTATCCCAGAAAAGTAATGATTTCAGTTTGGTGGGACTGGAAAGGGGTTCTTTATGACAAACTTTTACCCAATAACCAAACAATTAATTCCAATAAATATTGTCTCTAACTGGATGAACTAAAAGCTGCAATACATCAAAAACGTCCAGAACTTGTAAATCGACAGGGAGTGGTATTCCATCATGATAATGCAAGACTGCACATATTGTTAAACGTGCACCAAAAACTTCTAGACTTTAACTGGGATGTTTTGAGTCACCCTGCATATTCTCCAGATATTGCTCCCTCAGACTATCGTCTTTTTTGTTCATTGCAGAATAATTTAAATGGCATAGAATTTCAATCTCTAGAAGGTATCAAAAATCACATCAATAATTTCTTCAATCAGAAACCCACCCAATTCTACACAGACAGAATTATGAAACTACCCGTTAGGTGGTGTAAGGTTATCAAACAGAAGGGTGAATACATTGTGGATTAAAGGTTTTTATTTATTTCAAAATATTATATTTTATTTCTTTCTAAAAACTGAACAAACTTTTGGTTCAACCCTATACATTAAAGTAATTACAAATGGTTCAAAATAGAAAAAAAAAATGCAACTATGATTATTATTTACAATAGAAGTTATAATGAATAACAATACTATAATATGCATTATGCATTATAATGCTGAATAGGAACTTCAATATACGATTAAAGGCAGAATGTGCATAAGAAGCATTGATGCTACATTGTTGATTGAATAAGAATGCACATAAGCTGAACCGGTAGCCAATAAGTAAAGTTCAATGTCTCAGACATGGAACAGTGCTGATGTTGTAATATTTTAAAATCAAATCGTGGAAGTATTCGTAGTTTTATTTCTTAAGGAGGTTCTTGTGTCCCTCTTCTTCTTCCTCACAATTTATATGGAGGTACTAGCTATGTAGGCTTTCTCTGAACAGACTGCACTCATTGGTCAGTGGAAGCGACCAGTACGAGTGACATAAGTTTCAAGCCCCATCACGTAACGGCAGGGAGTAATGGTGGTTGAAGGCTCTTAAATGGGAAGCAAAGTGTGGACGTGTGACAAGTTAATGTTTAGTGTTGTGCCCAGATCGTGGCGGGCTCTAGCATATTGGGGGCAATGCAGCCAGAAGTGGAGGGTCATCTCTTGAACCTCGCAATGAGGGAAAATTGGTGAATTAATTGGTGAGAATATAAGGTGTTTAGTGGGGCTGTCTTAATGCTTAGCCGGGCCAGCAGTTTCCACATGCCGATTCAAGGCATAGCGATAATGCCATGGGGTGAAGGAACAGATATGATCAAGGCCCTTCCTCCAATCAGCTGACCAGATGCCATATTCTGATCACTGTCTCTGGTCTCTCACAAGCTGGTCGCTGATTGGCTAATCATTCGGAATCAGTGACCAGAATATGGCCCCAGGAGTCAGTCAATAGACATTTAGTGTCGATCCGGATGGCGTGGGCGAGGTCACGTGGCAACAGTGTCCTCCAAATGGAACCGTTAGGTGTATAGAAACGAGCCACTTTGTTTGTTTCATTAATGGGGATTTCTATGTGTTTGGGAGTCCACCCCATGACACAGGGCACCCTTTGAGTACCGATGCTCGTTGCCAGGTCTATAATTAGCAATGGAGATGAGAAGGAAACATTTACTATGGCTTGGAGGACTGACAGGCTGTCAGAGAATATGGCTGTAGGCTGGTCAGACTGTGCAGTGAGTCAGGTTGCTCTCATAAGCCTATGGGCCTCTGTCACAAAGACGTTGCTTATCTTGTGGATTGTCCAGGCTTCGATTTTGTTACTGCTCGGGAGCACTATCTCTATGGCAGTGCAGACCCTAGTTTTGGAGGCATCCACCCTGATATGCACCCAGCCTGGCCATTTAGTTCTTACAGTCAACTGGAACTGAACTCTCGTGGCTTCTGGCGGGAGTCTCGAGGAGTTATGCTCGAGTAATAATAGATATAAACTTAAATGTTATTTAAGTTTATATCTATTATTAAATAAACTTAAATAGGGGCCACTTTGCACATTGTCACACAAGTTTATCTTTCAAAACTTTGTTTTATCCATAATTTACCCAAATCAACCATTTAATAATATCAATGTTCTGCAGCACAGGCTAGAAAATTTGTCATGCAATTGAAAAATACCACTAAAAAATTTAATTTTTAATGGTATGTACTGTACCTATCAAATTTGATTTAGATATCAATACATGAATTAAATCAAATATTTCAATTTTGATTGTCAGATTTTATAACTAATATAGATTTGATATAATGTCCATATCCTGTTTTTTTAATAGCAAATATTTCACTAAGAAAATTACAATAAAATAGGTATTGTAGATACCAGATTTAATTAAATGTGATTTTGGTTTACAAGACTCAATATATAAAAATTTGATATAATTAAATGCTTTATTTTATCCCTTTCCCTATTTATGAGACAAAATATTCTAATTATAAGTACAACAAAATTGAAATTCCTTGCATTGATTAGGTAGTTAATAAGTTCCAATCTCCATTTTCTTTGTTCTTTAGGGATTTGACATTTGTTTTCTAATGTGATTATGCATTTTACTAAACCCTATCTCTACATTATAAACTCTTGTCTGCAATTGTAATTTTTTTTTAATTAAAAAAATTTTTACCCCAATTTTCTTGTTTTCTGCCTGTTTATCATCTTTTATTTTACCATTAAATAGTACTACTTATACCGTACATTTGCTTATCTCATTTTATATTAATTCATTTTATAACATTGAATAATCTAATAAAATAAAATAATTAAGATGAAACCATTTATTTGATTTAGTTTGATTGTTGATAAATAAACTGATTGTTAATAAACAGGTGTTTTGTAGTACTTAATATTTGTGGAACATTAATGGGATGACTGGATTACAATAAAATGACATTCAAATTTTTATCATAGAGAAATAATGGACAAGCTTTTTTATGAGAGGTTTCTGGTGATGAGATATACTCATAAATCAAGCTGACAATGCAATTCTCAATTACAAATTTAAATTAAATATTTTTGCTGTTCTTGTCTATTTATAGGATATACCAAATTAATAAATATACTAATAAATTATTTTATTATTATAAAGCGCAAAAAAAAATTAAAAATACATAAATAATAATTTATTATAGTGATTAAAAATTGTTTCTATTATATTTTATGAAATTTTAAAAATAAAAACTAATTTACTTTTCTGCAGGAGTTAAAGGACTATTAGTAATATCTCTCTGTAACTGTTCAATTTTTTCTTTTCGCCTTTGTTTCCTTTCCAATTCATCATCATTTTGTGGCACATCAGAATATCTAGGAGATGCTTGAAGCTCGCCCTTAGAAAGATTTCTTTTATGAATACGAATTATTCCTGCAACTGTGGGTTTAGCGAGACTATGTTGCAATGTATTAGTTGATGCCTCTTCATTAAACAACATTATTTCTTTAAAAGACAAATGAAAAATTATAACAACTATTAGTTAAAATATTAATAATACTTATTAAAAATAATCTTAAAAATACATAAATCAATTAACAAAAATTATTATTTAATTTTAAAACAATAATCTGAAAAATCAGAAAGAAAACTAATGCATTGATTTTTTATCTCTCCAATTTGTGTTGTAGATTTTCCAATAAGAAAAAGTTATTTATAATTATATATATTACATTATATTTGATTTATATTACTTATATTTCATTGATACTGTATATATACTTTATGACAAAATAAAATAAAATTTATTAAATAGTTTTTTCATTCACATGTTAAGCATGACATCATGCTAATACTTTTTATAAAACTAATTTATTTACTAGATATAAACTCAACTAGACATAATACAAGGTGTCCCATGTAAAACTAGCCTCATTTACTGATTGAATAAACCAGGCTACCTTAAATAACAATGTATTGGTTATTCATAAATAATTACAGAAATTTGCCTAAGATTTTGAAAAGTTTTTTCTCTACTTTTATTTTGTCTCATTTGTTTCTTATTTTAAATATAAATATACAATAATTTACTCAATCAGAGAACAGGGTCAGTTTTACATGGGACACCTGGTAGATAAATCTAGGTTTTTAAGAATTAAAATATCCATTATGATGACTTTTACAAAAATGGATTATACTTATCATAGCATTCAATAAAAATCAATTAAAATAGAATAGAAAATTATGCAGTTTATTATGAAATAAGAACAAAAGAATGTTGAACTTTATTAGTAAATAAATACTTAGTCATAGTTATTATGATAACTTTAATTTTTACTAATTAAGGCTTCTTCATATTCAAAAAAAAGCTAATAAGCTATTTTTTGAATTTGTTGGTTTATTGACCTGAAAAAAATCATAATAAAAGTGAAAATATTCATCATAACTGAATGGTGATTTAAAATTGCTAGAAAATAACTACTCATTCATATAGTTCTCATTTCACATTCCTTGCAATATGCAGGAATATAAAGGACTCTAAAGAAATTTTTATAAATCTCAGTAGTTTTGAAATAAAGGGTCTTAAAGATGATCTCATCTATAAAAAGTAAACACATGCTTTCAAATAAAAATGACTGCAGCATAACTGTGATGACATTTATAACAGAATAGTGATAAGAGAGTAACCACAGACAGGCTTGCACTGGTGGATGCTATTTTCTGAAATAGGCTCTTTTTTAATTCACTATGTAAAATTTGTTCTATTCAAATCTGTTCAAGAATAATATAAATACTTCAATCAGTCAAAAATAAACAGGAATTATATTTTTAAGCCCACCATTTAATATTTTTCAAAATATTCCTCCCACAGTTAAGATAAGTATACCACCACTTCACAAGATTTTTTTTATTCCCTTCTCATAAAAAAATGGTTTGGCTACTTGCATGACCCTCTCTCACATATCACATCTGATTTCTATAGTTAAGCACATTGTGCATTATTGAATATGCTGAGCTATGGCTATCTGCAAATGGTCGGTAACTTCTGCAATTGGATTAGTTACACCGAATCAAGGCTTTGCAGCAGCAATATTAGTGTCAATAATGGCAAACTTTAGTCTGTTATTATGCAAGTTGTCCAATATTGATTATTATTCGTGCACAAAACCTTTTGACCCATTCAGACTTGTGTTTTTGACAATGCAATCTTGTCATAAACAGCTCTTAATTAATCAACAATGAATTTCACTGGGTTTAATTTTCTTTAAGGTCAGAAATTCAATGATTGAACACTGTCCCTCCTTGGACAGGCTTGCACTAATGGATGCCATTTTCTGGAATAGGTTCCCCATAATGTCATGCAGTAGCAGTCGTACTAACATATGGAAAATATGAATAGCCAATGCTCTTACATAAGAACCAACTTATTTTTCCAGCATGAATACTTTATTTTTAACAAAATAATTTCAGTTTCTTTTTGACTGAATCAAGTAATACCCACACTTGACTGAATCTAATATAGTATATATTCAAACACCATTATTTAAAAAATGCATATAAGAGAATAAAGGATAAAGGCTTTTATAAATTATATGTAATACCTCATCTTGGGAATATAACTGAGTGAAATTATTAAGATGCTCTTTTAATTTTTTTTTTTTGAGTTTTCTTCTATTCTAGAAAACTGTCAATAGTTATTTGTCCAGGATTTTTTTTTTACAAATTGATATGTTCTGTCACTGCCAAAAAGATTATTTTAGCAAATTTTACATAATGAGTTGAAAATGAGCCTCAAATAAAGATCTGACTTGTGTGAGACCTTTGTTCTGTTCTGAGGTATGTGAAAAATACAAATTACTTGTGTAGCAGCCTTAAAAGTTTTCTAGAATTTTTAGAATAGAAAGTATTAAATTTTTAAGTATCATATATATTTTTCTCTAATGAATCCTATGCTTCTTCATTTTAGTCTTTTATTATTTAATAATGCTATATAATATATTTTAATTTTCATAAATTAAAATTTTTGAATCACTACATAAATGATAATGTTTGATTTACAAGAGAAAGGGCTCTGTAATTCATTTTACTCATTCTGAACTTTAGCTTACTAATACGTGAATTTCTCTGTGATGTTATTTAATGCTTTCATAGAAGTACCAAAATTAATTGTTTATTATTTAATGATAAAGTGGGGACAGTGTTAATACTTTTTTTTGTTATTTTAACTACTTTCTAATAAACAATTTTAAAAGACTTCAGACACAAATTCATTAAAATTAAATTTTAAAGGAAACAATTTATTTCCAAACAGAAGAAGTATATATATATATATATATATATACAGTGGTGCCTCGTATAACGTACACCTCGAATAACGGACGCTGCGAATAACGGACTTTCTGTTTGACCGTTACGTGACTCGAGCAACGTACTTGCTGCGAACAACGGACTTTCCGTTCAGCAGTTACGTGAGACGAACAATGGACTTTCTTCGAACAAGTGCGAATGATGTTTCCACTCTTTTGCCATTGCCAATGACAATCTGCTATTTTTAGGATATATTAGTATTATTAGAATGTATTATTAGTATATCTGAAGTAGAAATGTAATGTAATATATGTTGATGATTTAAATAAACATTAAATGTAATGTAATACAGTATATGTTGACGATTCAAATAAACGAAATGTAATTGTGTAGATGCCGAGGTGGCGGGACGAAAAGAGGTTGTAAAAAACAAACGGAGCGAGAGTAGCTCGTAGAAGTGTTTAGTGATCTTAATTAATAAAGAATTATTCGTA